GCTTATATTTATGCATGAATAGCACAATTTATTCGCCATGTTGCTATTTAAACAACATGGGTCAAAACGTGAAAATTAGGGTTGCGTTGGTCTGAAAGTAGCAACAAATTGTGCAAAAAACGTCTTGCGCCTTATTGCGCCGGTTGTATGATAGAGCCCAAAATGTTTACGCTTCTATTTACGCATGAATAGCACAATTTTTTTGCCATGTTGCTATAAAAACATCATGTCTCAAAACGTGAAAATTAGGGTTGCGTTGGTCTGAAAATAGCAACAAATTGCGCAAAACACATTATGTGCTTTATTGCGACGGTTGTATGATAGAGCCCAAAAGGTTTACGCTTCTATTTACGCATAAATAGCACAATTTATTTGCCATGTTGCTATAACATCATGTCGCAAAACGTGAAAATTAGGGCTGCGTTGGTCTGAAAATAGCAACAAATTGCGCAAAACACATTATGTGCTTTATTGCGACACTTGTATGATGCCCAAAAGGTTTACGCTTTAAGCATGAATAGCACAATTTTTTTGCCATGTTGCTATAAAAACATCATGTCGGAAAATGTGAAAATTAGGGTTGCGTTGGTCTGAAAATAGCAACAAATTGTGCAAAACCACATCTTGCGCCTGATTGCGCGGGTAGTATGAAAGAGCCCAAAATGTTCACGCTTCTATTTACGCATGAATAGCAATATATTAGCACATGCTGCATTTGGTGTGAACACAGCATTACATTAAATACATTTATCTTTCAGAAATTCCAGCAGCTCAAACTCAAAATAAAATAATTAATATAAAAAATTTATACTAAGTATATTGATTTCAAAATGGCTATTAATATTAGTAGTCCAAAAATAACTACAGGTAAGAATGGGTTGAAATGATAATCGGAAACAAAATCTAATAAAAAAAGTAAATAGAAAATGTAAAATATCTTAACTAAATTACTGAGAGAAAAAAATCCTAACTGCTGAGTCTTTGCATGTGTGTGTGTGTGAGAGAGAGAGAGAGAGAGAGAGAGAGAGAGAGAGAGAGCGAGAGAGAGAATGTGTGCATATGAACAGATGGAGGGTGAGATTATTGGTGCCACATTTTATTAGTCACGTTTTATGCTGCCGCATACGCAATCACACAAACACACACTGAACACACACATTATTTACCTCCTGCACATACATAAAACGTTATAAGTTATACATTGTGCATCTACTTGTGTGCACACTTGAGGACAACACAGTCATGCACGTTTAAAAGGGCCAAAATCAATCTCACACACCATCTGTCTATATATTCCTGCACGTAAGCACGTCAAAATTAGCAATAGCATCTGATGTAATTATAAAGTGCTGGAATTCAGACCACTAAAGACTGATATGTAATATAATTACAAAAAAGAGACATATTTAAATGTCTTATGCTCACCATGGCGATATTTATTTAATCCAAAATACAGTAAAATGTCATTTATACTGTGATTCTCTTCAGTGCTAAACAATCATTAGGAAAACATTCAAATGTGGTGATTTGCTGTTCAGACGCTATATATTTATATGGAATTCTTTAATAAATAAAGAAATAAAGTATCATAAAATAAAAATATTTTTAAATAGATTTAAATTCCTTAATGCTTCAGTTTTGCTAGACAATGCATCTTTACAGAATAAACGTACTTGTTTTTTATTATATTATGCGAAGATTTAAACACTACAAAACTAGACCAGGGGTTCTCAATCTCGGTCCTGGATGTCTGCAGATCTTAGCTCCAACTTGCCTCAACATACCTGCAAGGATGTTAGTCTAGTTAGAAAGCTTAGTAAGGCTGCGGTCACACTAGAGCTAAAGAAATTCTGTCGTCTGATACTGCGAAAAGGGGCAGGATTAAACAAGATGATTACACATTAATAAAATCGAGCGATTGCTCCATAATTTAAATTTCTGTACAGAGAGGTCATGTTTCGATCCTCAACTGGTCTCATGCAGTAAAGTGATGCGATTTCGCAGGTTCACCAAGCTTGAACTTCCACCACAGCGATCTGCGAAACTTAACGCAGCAGCTTGCGTTTCGCGTCTGATGAATTTGCGCGAGTATGAATGGAAGACTATGGGAAGAAAAGTCCAGTGTGATTACAGCTTCAAAGCTTGATTAGCTAGCCCAGGTGCGTCTAATTGGGGTTGGAGTTAAAATCTGCAGGACACCGGGGCTGTTTCTCAATTCCAAGAATGCAGAGAATGGACTCGCGTTCTCATGGAGAGCGGTCATGCCAGGTCACCTCGGAGGAACGAACTTGGGAGACCGCGAAAACGGAGAACACATCCTGTGAGAAATGAGATGATGCATTCCTGAAGGGCACATGACCTTCACACATATTTAATGGGCTATGATTTAAACATTAAAGCATTTATACAACGAGTAATTGTTTAATCCTTTTCAATATATACAACATGCACAAAAACCTCACAAATAAACATTGCACAATACAAATAAAACTGATTTTATTATAAAAATTTAGCAAATAAACACCCTTGAGGCGTTTATGCTTTTTATGCAATTTTCATGATAATGTTTACTTTCACTGTTTCATTTAGGGAAACTCCTGAGATAAATAAGTTATATCTATGAACTTAAATAATAAAATGCTGAGCTTCCCACCTCCTTTATTCAGCTGCCATTGACTTGGAACTTCTACGGTGCTGAAGTCTGCATCGACGCATCCTCGAAATCAAGAATGCATCCAGGAACTATTACGTGTCCTCCGTTCTTGCGGTCTTAAGTTTTGAAACTGAACTATGTTGATTGATGACGTTACACAAGAACGCCGAAGAATGTATATTGAGAAATGGCCTGAATCTCAAGAACCGAGATTGAAAACGCCTGTACAAGACCATTAAATTGAACAGAAAGAATCTGATTGGCCAGAGTACCTGTTTTTATTTTTTTGTTTTTTATTGTCTGGTTTGTTTTTTTTATGGTCCAGAATTTTTATTTTGGTGCATCCTTAATGTTCAGAGTAAAAAAAGAAAAAGAAAAAAAAACATATTTACGAAAGCAAGCAATAGCAAACTAATACCTTTGACTCCTGATAATACATTATTAAGACCATTCCCACATCCATTCCAAAACACTGGTAAATTCTGACATCATTAACCAAAAATGGCCTGTAAATGGCTGCGCTTGTATTTGTAAACATAATAGGGTAAGGCATTTGTTGATAGATTCACTTTTTTAAAGCTTTCGCATTCACGCAGCAGCTTTTTATCCCAGAGACATTCAAAGGCAAAACCACGGCTAAATGTTTGCACATTTGACGACATTACAAATTCTGTGGATTGATAAGTATTGTGAACACCATGAACTTGGTGCATTGTGAACTTTGATGTAAACACATGGAGGAACACTTGTCGACATGTGCATTTGTTTGTGTGCTAGCACTCACCGGAGCACTCCTTCACGTGCACGAGCACCATGCAGCTGAACGAAGGGCTTGCAGTTAAACTCATTAGCAGTTTGTCAGAAACATTTTATTGATAATTTTTTCCACAGTTGGCATTAAAAGGCCATGAAACCTCCCTCTTTCGGTTCAAGGTTTGGCCGGCAGAGCAGAGTAAAAAGAGGGGCCGAATAACTGTTGTCACAGTTGACACAAACCATGAGTAGACGCATGATTTTATAGTTTACAAAGTGAAAATGAAAAGAAATAAAAAGTAATTTAATGCCCTGCTACATCCGTTTTTGTAATTTCACATATGCATAACCCCAATCGATGTAAACATTACAAATGAGGAGGACTTCTCTTGAATCCCCGGGTCTGAATGCAGACACAGTGGATAGCAGTGCAGCAGGTCTCTTGCCCTGTCTATTCCAATCATCAGTAGCCCTGCCGGTAATCTGTATGATTTTAAGCATTGGTGAACACAGCAGCACGGATATAGGCGATGTGTCTGAATGGTAACGAACTCAACTGATAAAAGACAAAGTCCACCATACACATATTCTTGTACAGCTCTCCCAACAAAAATGCTTGCTAACAGCAAGCTTGGCTGTATCAGCCCTGACAGCATCACAGGGAAAACCATGCAACATACCCTGTGGATTATGGAAACTAACTCACGACCCTTCATGAACAGCTAAATGCTCCTCATCATACACAGATGCGGCCTCGGCCAATCATTGGGTCTCACAGCTTGGCTGGACAGCCTTGCCTCGTGCTTGCACATGCTCTCATGAATAATAAAGAAGCAAGGTCTTATAGGATAAGAAAATTTAGCTATGAATAATAATGAGAAACCGACGCATCATCACTCCACTAGCAGATTCGCATTACGTCACTAATTTTGATCTCGCCCCAAAAAATACTGTAAACCTTAAAAATGAAATTAGCTGACAAAAGCTTAAAATGATTCAGTTTCCCACAGTTAAAGCTAACAGGTGCTAATGCTGTCTTAACTGGTGCTCAACACATACAAATCTGTTTTAACCTTTAATAATAAACATGGAAACGTTATCTGACTAACAACTTGCAGATGATTGTGATTGGAAAAGTATTCAAAGGCTTTTATTTTCATGAAGAGCGCAGATGTGAATGTGTCTGAATGTTCTGACTGGTCGAAGTAGACATCTCACATCAGCACTAGACGTGAACGCGCTCTTTCTGCCAATTTTCCTTACCGGTAATGTTACTTCTCTTTCTGGAAAATTGCCAGAATTTACCAGTATTTCAAAAAGGGCTTGTTCACACATGATCCCTTTCCCAAAAATTGCCGGTAATTTTCTTGAAAAGTCTGTCTGTGTAAAAGGAGCTATTGTCTTACACTTAAAAATGACATTTGCTGCTTGTTTAAACTACTTTCACATGATTTTTTGGGAGGACAACTTAATTGTTTTATGTTTGATCAACTTAAATTTTAAAAAACATTAAGTTAACTTAATCGATTTGTGTTGCAAAGTTGTGATTGGTTGATTTAAATGAGCTCATTTAGGTGTTGAGTAAGACGTGTACCTGTTTTTACTGTCTGGCTTCTGCTGTTGTATCTTTTTGTTTTTCTGGGTTTTCTTCTTCTTGTCAGAGTCTGATTCACTGGAGCTCTTCTCTGATTGGCTGGAGCTGCTCTTGTTTGAAACCTCGCTGTTTTCCTCGCTCTCAGATCCACTTTCTGACTCTGCATGTGCACACAAACAGGTTAAAACGAGTTGCAAAGTAGCAAAAACATGCTCTTATTTCACATCCAAACCTTCACTGCTGCTGCTACTGCTGTCTTCACTGTTGCTTTCCTCATCCTCTTCTTCTTCTTCCTCCTCCTCATCGGAGTAAAACTTCTCTTTAGATTTACCAGCTTTGGATTTACCAAGTGACGGTGCTCCGGATTCTTTCACCTGCCACAAAGAACAAAAACATGAGGTAATGCTCATAATAAAAAGGGTAACTTTTTAAGCAATGTTGCTGGGTAACTTTGGGAAATGATGCCATAAATGGGTAACTAGGAGAGAAACGGGGGAACTAATTAAGGCAATTTTCTTTCCCATTCTTAGTAAAAAAGTAACCAAGCAATATCGCTTTGCAAAACTGCCTGGTAACATTGCCCAAAGAGTTGCGCTGTGTATCATTAGCATTAGGTGATTATTATTTAAGACCTGATTACATCACCACGCTGGGATTTTTAGTTGTGGTCCATCCATGGTGATTTATAAAATACAAGTCAACTGCTAGCATTTTCAGTAGAGATGCACCCAATTTTCGGTCACCAAAAATTACTGTTAAAAAATGTATATAAAAATAGGGTTGTGCTTTTTTTGTACGCAGAACACACAGCGCTATACACTAATATTTATATATATATATATATATATATATATATATATATATATATATATATATAGTGCTTATTTCATTGCCCCATGCAAAGGATGGATAGATTGTTGCCGCGTCAAACAAAACACAAGAGTAGAGTGTGCGAAAAGTTCAAAATGGCTTAAAGGGGAGCTATTAGATCCTTTTCATAAGATTTATATATGTATACACACACACACACACACACACACACACACACACACACATATATATGTATGTATATATGTGTGTGTGTGTATTTATAGCTCCTGATTGGTTAACACGGTGCGAATATCCACTGAAGTTCAGATTTCTGAAGCCGTGCGATTCGCGCGTTAAGCACACCAAACACGCAAACTGCATAATAACGCTCAATGATTCGCACAATTCGTGCGTATCGCATCGTAGAATGTCTATTCGCACCTTTGCATTGACTTAACATGTAAATCACTCGCGCTCGACGCTTCTTCCACATGTGGTGTGAACGCAGCATTCAGGGTAAATTTTGAAGCCCTTCCCCTTCACATTCTCTTTCAAGGGACAAGGGGAAACGGAAAAAGGTACAAAAAAAATAATTGGGATTGGGCCTAAGTTAACGTAATCGATTTGTTTTGGGACAACATGAAGGTTTTTTTACAGTGCATGAAGTGAAGCAATTGGTTTGTGGATAAAACAACATTATTTACATAATCATGTGACTGAATTTTTGGATGAACTGTCAATATTAGAAAAGGATGTCTTACCGGTTCCACTACTTCCACATTTCTTACGGATTGGTCAGGAGCAGCAGCCGGCCAATCAGAGAGCTCCAGGTACCCGGTGGCCTGGGAATTGAGTGTATGAGAGAGCGTGCCAAGCTGATATCGATCACGATCTGAAAGACGGAGAGAAAGAGAGAGAAAGAAGGAGAGAAAGATTAGGAGCAATATACATGCTGATGTCATCAAACAGTGTAAAGTCACGCTGACTGAAAACCTGTAAGATCTCTGATACCATTTTGGTTTTATTCTGTGAAAGATCACATTTCTAAACATAATAGTTTTGATTACTCATCTCTAATAACTGATTTATTTTATCTTTGCCATGATGACAGTAAATAATATTTGACTAGATATTTTCAGGACACTTCTATACAGCTTAAAGTGACATTTAAAGGCTTAACTAGGTTAATTAGGCAGGTTAGGGTTATTAGACAAGTCATTGTATAACGATGGTTTGTTCTGTAGACAATCGAAAAATAAATTTTGCCTATGAAGGCTAATAATTTTGACATTAAAATGTTTTTTTTATTATTATTATTTAAAACTTTTATTCTAGCCGAAATAAAACAAATAAGACTTTCTCCAGAAGAAAAAAATATTATAGGAAATACTGTGAAAAAATCCTTGCTCTGTTAAACATCATTTAGGAAAGATTTGAAACAGAAAAAATATTTTAGAGGAGCGCTCATAATTTTAACTATAACTTTATTTAAATATATGTAAAATGCATGCGTCATTAATATATTTAATATACTATACCACTACTATAAAAACAAAATTAAGGTGGATGAGACATTATGCAAAAGTTTTGCTAAAGGGTTCTAACTTTTGCCACCATCTCTGGACATTACTATACTTCTTTGTCATAATAAACAAAAAAAGCAATAAATGTCCTAACAAGGCTTTAGAAGACCTGCTGGGTAATTGACATTAAGCTGGCAGAAATGCCACGGCATTCAGGTCTGCCTGCGTGCCCTTCTCACAACACACTGGGTTCATCCCATAATTACTATAGCATATGAGCGCATATTCACTCTGGCTCTGCAGAATATACACATAAGAATATAAACACCACTAAACAGAGGAGCTGAAGCACGATTATTAAAAATGACAGCAGCAGCTAAATGTCTCGCAAATGTTACAGGGTAAAATTTATGCAGCATAAATGAAATAAAGGCTAACGGCTGCCTGTTCACTAATTTATTTTAATCCACAGTAACCATGGGGACAATGATGAAAAAATAAAAGCAGGCCCATCAGAAACAAAAACCGGAGAAGCACATCATCAAAATATTTTTTTAAATTATGTTTGATTGATATATGTGATATAATTTTAAAAATGGAACATGACCATTTTTTTTTTTTTAAATGTCTGATGGTAAATCATACTAAATGTTTACTATTTTAGTTTTGTTAGGATTACCTAAATCATTTACATTTGCTAAATGCCAGAATAATGAGAGAATTTTATTTATTTTATTTATTTATTTATTTATTTTTTTTTTTTGAGAATTTGTCATTAATTTCTAGACAGTGAAAAGTTTACATACATTTCCTTGGTATTTTTTTAGCGTTGCTTTTAAACTCTATAACTTTGGTCAAATGTTTTGGGTATCCTTCCACAAGCTTCTCACAATAGTTTAAAAAAAATTTTTTGGCCCATTCCCCCTGACAGAATTAGTGTAACCGAGTCAGATTTGTTGTCTTGCTCGCATAAGTTTTTTCAACTCTGCCCACAAATTTTTTATTGGATTGAAATCAGGGCTTTGTGATCGCCACACCAACACATTCACTCTGTTGTCCTTAAAGCACATTTTAACTTATTTGGCAGGATGCTTACGGCCATGGACTGTTTGGAAGACCCATTTGTGGCCAAGTTTTAATTTCCTGGCTGATGTCTTGAGATGTTGCTTCAGTATTTCTACATAATGTTCTTTCTTCATGATGCCATCTATGCTGTGAAGTGGACCAGTCCCTCCTGCAGCAAAACAGCCCCACAACATGATACTGCAGCCCCCATACTTCACAGTTGGAATGGTGTTCATAGGCTTGAAAGTTTTCCCCTTTGTCCTCCAAATGTAACACTGGTCATTATGGCCAAACAGTTCAATCTTAGCTCCATAAGACCACAGGACATATCTCCAAATATTATTCCTTTTCTCAGTGTATTTTCCAAATTGTAATCTGACTTTTTTTTGTTGATTCTGGCTTGTTGATTTTCTTATGTTGTCACACAAGGAAGCAGTGTGTTTGATATTTTCCTTAAACATTATTCTATAGTTGTGCTTCTAATTAACTCAAATGTTGTCAATTAGCCAATCAGAAACGTACAAAACCTTGACTTCATCATCTGAGCTTTTTCAGAGGCATAATAATCTGATTGTATGTAAACTCGACTTTTAAGAAAAGTTTTCCCTCTCTCTCTCAAAATATCTCTCTCATTATTCTGCTTTTAAGCACAACAGAAGAAAATGTGATAATCCTAACTTACCTAAAAAAGAAAGAGTTTAGTCACATTAACATCTGACTTTTTTTTTTCAAATGGTTATGTGCCTTTTTTTTTACAGTGTATGTAAACTTTTGGTTTCAACTGTGCAAATATATGTGTGTGTGTGTGTGTGTGTGCGTGTAAGATGTATGCAACAGTTTTACTTTACATTGTTAACGTGGTGGACGTTGTGCGCTCTCTCTCTCTCTCTCTCTCTCTCTCTCTCTCTCTCTCTCTCTCTCTCTCTCTCTCTCTCTAACATGCTTGAATACTTGTGCTATATGAAGCAATATAAAAGCTTCTTTAGTCGTCGTGTATGAGATTAAGGGTTCGGTACTCTGATGCTTTCATCTCAGAACAGACTTCAGAAGAGTTGACATCATTCGCTATGGTATTTAATGATGCACGACTCGTATTTACAGGTGAAAATCCGATCTACCTGCTTACACTGCAGACACGAGGGCACAGATCCGATTCATACGTATATCAGTTAAATTTCAACACATGAACAAGGCCTGAATCTGATTTGAGTAAATCAGAATCGGTGTGATTTTTTTCCTGCTTACATGTACATGGGCCATGTCTGATCTGTGCCACATGAGAGGAAAAAAAATAAAAATCAGAATTGGGTCACTTGAACCACGCAGTGTAAATGCAGTCTTTGAAAGCAGGGTGCAATGTGAACACAGGCATAGATCTTCTCAGGGTATGATGATATTCAATAGGCACTGTACACAATAAACACATTTTTAAAATTGTATTCTAATTATCCACAAACATGAAACAAGTTAAATGTAAACTTTTAAAAATTTCATTATAGAATGTGATCAGTACGTACTGTAGGTACAAAACCCTGGAGCTTTCCATCGAAAGCAAACAATTTTACAGGTCAGCTTTATGACAGAAAGCAGGTTATGATGTCGCAACTCGCATCTTTTCATAACTTGGCAAACAAAGACATGTCGCTTTGAGTTTCATCACGCAGAGGCATAATCAGGCCTTACAAACTTTATTACCTCCTATTAAGAGCGGGACACGCTTTAGCAAGCAGCGAGAGCGATACTCAGCACAACAAAAATTACCCTCAGCGACAGCCGGCATCGATCACACGCAGCGCATCCTAGTGCTAAAAAACCCCAAACCATCCATCCATCCATCCGTCCATCCATACAGGAGCAAATGAGGAACACACTCTTCCTGCTTAAACTCCTGCTTAATTGCAGGTGAAGTGTGTGGATGTACAGGAGGAGCGTAGAGACGTTTGGGCGCCTGAGGGTCAGACGGGTCTCTCAGACTCATCTGTCTGTTATTAAACCGCAGCGAATCCAACAATTCAATTACGCATCGAAGAAACAGAAACATTTACAGCACAAATGAAATCAAAACTAACCATATTGATTTTGCTAGCACACATTGCTGGTTTTGTGGTGAACGATTCATTAGTGCGTGTAATTAAGAGAAAAATATAGTTTGCCCTTAAAATCAAAATCTGAAAATGCACTTCCTGTTTGTTTTCAGTTAAATTCTCAGATTACGTCAGTCTGAGATATTGGGCGGGGCTAACATACTTAACCACGCCCCTTTTAACAGTTAGTTTTGACAACACACAAACAGTGAGGAGAGGGTGTCTGTTAGGTTATAATAATTCCTCTAAAACCCCATCTTCCTAAATGAAATGCCTGCTTTACTACATCCAATCAGCTAGCAGCAGAAAAACAAGCCACGCCCACTGTTTACTCATTAATATTCTGTTTCGCTAGGAGCTCTAATACGAAAAAGAAAAAAGGTTGCAGCTTTCAGTTTAAGCCTCATTCACATTGAGCGACTCGCAGCGGCAAAGCGACAAGCGACCCTTTTACTGGAAATTGAGCAACTTCTGGCGACCTCCGCTACAAAGACGGTGCTAGTGTGAATGAGGCATCATGCGGCTTTTATTTTTGTGTGTTGTATTGATTATTCCAGAGCCTACAGTGAACGAGTGCAATGAAGGAGTTGCATTTTAGCATTTCTTTTTGCCAAATGACTGTTTGTCAATAAGTGTAATATATATAATATATGTATATTATATTGAAAATAGGCTCATTTTACAACTCCGCTAGAGTTAAACTGATGAGTTTCACCATTTTTCAATCCATTTAGCTGATCTCCAGGTCTGGCAGAAGCAATATTAGCTTAGCATAAATCATTGAATCAGATTAGACCATTAGCATCTCTATCAAAAATGACCCAAATTGTTCCTATAATTTTCCTATTTTAAGCAATATGGACTTAATGGAACAGTCTCTTTAATTTTTAATATTGAAAATAGGCTCATTTTACAACTCTGCTAGAGTTAAACAGGTAAGTTTTACCATTTTTAAATCCATTTAGCCAATTTCCGGGTCTGGTGGGAGCATTTTTAGCTTAGCTTAGCATAGATCATTGAATTAGATTAGACCAGTAGCATCTTGCTCAAAAATGACCCAAATTGTTCCGATAATTTTCCTGTTTTAAGTTGGACTCTTATGTTGTAACCCTGTGTACTAAGCCTGATGAAAAAAAATAAAGTTTTTTCCTTATTTTGACTGGAAGATCACTACAGCTCTCAAAATGAAAAACATTTCCTAAACTAAAATTTGGGTCAAG